GTGTGTGAGGGTCACACCACTGTGTTGTGTGGGTCATACCACTGTGTTGTGATGCCCCACCCTTCTAGACTGTGAGTCACACCACTGTGTAGTGTGGGTCACATCTTGTGTGTGTCACACCACGGTGTTTTGACGCCCCACCCTATAAGGCTGTGAGTCACACCATCGTATCCTGGCTGTAGATCACGAAATTGACACCTCTCGGGGCGTGGCTGTCTTTAAATGGCGACCGTTAAGTCAATTTACTGCAGGTGTAGAAGGGCAATGAAATCCTTCAAGGTGTCAGGTAAAGCCATCATGGCTTTTTGATCCGGCTCCAGTCAACTTTATGGTTTTCTCTTTTATACCCGAGGTAGACCACTGTCTAGATATTGTAGACGGAACTAAAAATATAGTTGTAGGAAACAAGGACATAAAACCAAAACAATCAAAAGGTAATGAGTTCGAAACAAAGTTTTAACCTAAGTAGGTATTGGTATTCTTTAAAAATACTTCAAAGTGACACCAGTAACATTCTTATGTTTAAGACTTCTCCAGAATGGAGTTAAAAGTGAGTAAAAATGAGACTGACCCCCTCCCCCTCCCGTAGCTAATAAATTATTGACTACTCATACCATGCTTATAACCAACTAACTGACTCCCGCCTTTTCTGCCACTGACTCCCACCTTTCCTGCCATTAACTGACTCTCACAGTTCCTGCCACTGACTCCCACCATTCCCTCACTGACTCCTACCTTTCCTGCCATTAACTGACTCCCACCATTCCCTCACTGACTCCCACCTTTCCTGCCATTAAATGACTGGCACAATTCCTGACACTAACTGACTCCCACGATTCCGTCACTGCTTGCCTACATTCCGCTGTGCCTACATGTTGCCGCTTACGGCACACTTCACTTACCGGAAACGTTTCATACAGCAGTTACCCGCACTCAATCCCCCACCTTTCTTTTTTCAACCAAACCCCATCCTCCACACCCCACACCCCACCCTCCACCCTCCATATCCCACCCTACACACCCCACCCTCCACCCTACACACCCCACCTTCCACACACCAGGAAAAAATACAGAACGTGACGCTAATTTTATTTAAGCGACGTAAATTCGGTCCATCTCAATTGCCGAGTTTCAAGCGAGGTCTGATCTAAGTCAGCGGCCTAACTACTGGATAGCAAGCGTAAGCCCAGAGAGCATGGGGGTCCTTTTTCCTCTTTCACAAATATAACATTTTTCATTGTAAATATAATTTGTGTTTAATATAAATAAATAATTTTAAAAGAAAAGAAAATGGGAATTTAGTCACTGTAAAATTAATTAAAAATTCGAAAAAATAGACCCTCTTTCTTACATAGTGTAGGCCAGGGGTCTCCAAACTACGGCCCGCGGGCCGGATGCGGCCCGCGAGGTCCTTTCATCCGGCCCGTGGAGATCTTTTTGTTCACGGAAAAAAATGTTGAAATGGCTGAGGTACTTTGCTCAGAAAATTCAAAACAATTTGAAAATCTAGCTTTGGGTATAAATATCTTTGCCCTCCGTGTTGCAAACATTGATGAAAACATTGTGATTCAAATAGAGTCGCTGGACAGCTGTTCCATGTTTTTGGAACAAGTACAGGGCAACAACTTGACACACTTTCGCACTTTCAGCAGTGTAATGTCTTCATGGCTGAAGCAACAGCTGAGTTCCCCACATCATTTGCATGCAAGATAATCCAGCTCCAGTTTCAGTAACGGTTTTCTGACTAGGATTCAAAGGCAGAAGAAGTGAGACTGCTTCAAAACCCATTTGAAGTAAATGTAACCAGTTGCCCAGATGAACTGCAGATGTAGGTCATTGAATTGCAAGCAAATGACCGCCATAGAGACAAGTTAAAAAAAATGGCGGGTGGGTTTTTGTGTTTGCCCAAGGAGAACACACTCAAACCTCTAGTGTGTTGTTCGCCCCGACAGTGTTTCTTTCAGACTTTTTCTCCTGTAGGGGGGGGGCTTTTAAAATGTGTATATATTTCTATATAAGTTATATTTCGTTGGGGGGGGGGGGGAGGGGGGCACGGGGACACCACCACCCCAAAGGATGCATGGAAGAAACTCTACTCTGGCCCGCGAACTGATATTTGATAGTTAATGCGGCCCTCGGGCTGAAAAGTTTGGAGACCCCTGGTGTAGGCAATGGCATTCAATAGTGGGGAAGGGGATGCACAGGTACATTTAAATGCACCCTTTAAAACATCATCTTAACAAGAAGTTCGCTCACCCCACCTTACCAGACTGCGCAACTCAACAACTGCTCCCTCACCTAAACTCCATCCTATTATATATATATATATATATATATATATATATATATATATATATATATATATATATATATATATATATATATATATATATATATATATATAATTGTTTCATCATTTGTAGGATAAAACAGAGCCGTTTTTGTTTGCGGATGATGTGGTTGCTCCAGATCCAAGCGCTTAGGAGCCCCGAACTTAAGGACAGTTTTTATTGTTTTGTGATCTTAAATATTATTTGCTGAATAGTATTTGCTGAATTAAATTTGAAAAAAAAAAACAACATGCATGCTCGAATTGTGAAATTGTTGTTTGTTATTACTGAAGCTATGGTTTATGTTAATGAGTTATCCCCCACCTGAACTGGGACAGACAATAATTCGATAGATATATTTTAGAATCACACCTCGCTGTGTACAGGGTCGTCTGGAATGGACCTGAGGGAACTGGAGGTGGGTGAAGATGGGTGGAGATGGGTGGAGATTGATGAAGGTGGATGGATGCGAGTGAGACGCACCCCCCTCCTCCCCCTGACCTCGTATGTAAATTTGGGAAAAACATGTATTCGAATAGATGTAGACGGTTTTTTTTTTAGTGAGCTGCAGAAATGCCTGTAGTAGACAGGTAGGAGCCTTAGGAAAGCTAGTCTTGTTGGTTATCAGCGTTTTTTCAATGCATCTCTTCGGTGGGAAGGCGGGGAGGCCCCCTCGGAAGAAATTCTACCCAACGCGACCGAAATGGAATTTATATTGAAAAGATAAACTTTAACCAGTGTCCGTTTCCCACACCACCCCCCCCCCCCCCACTTCCAAGAAAATTTAGTCTACCACCCCGAAAATATCAAGTGTCCCCCACCCGGAGGAAGAAGTTTGAAGTAGTAGTAGGATATGACGAACAGCGATACAACAGCCACAAAGCATTGAACGCTTTGCGATGTTTCATGTTGTGACCTCAACGATTGGGAACATTTAATTGAATTTTGTATTGCTGAAGTTACGCCAAGCGAAAGATTATCTGCAACACTCGACAAATGTGGCTTAAATATTGATGCCTGTCGGAAAGATTGATACGATAATTGAACTAATATGTAAGTAGAACGGTAAAATCGTCGTCATAATTTTAATTCTCTTTGAGAAGAAAAAAACTACTTTTCCAAAACGGAGGAAAAGGTCACGAACAAATACAACACTATATGTGTACACTATTTATCCTAATTGATACAGCTACCATGTACTTAGTGTACAAGTTTTTAAGACACCAATTTAAAAAGCAGTCATTTCTTGGATGTCCGGACTTAGTCGTGTGTGCGGGCGTGTGGGAATATTTTCGATTAACCAATTGTTTTTAATCGGGCTGACGTAATATCATAAACTTAGCTCTGGCACACGGTTGTGGCTAGGTCGAGACCTACCCAACCCCCTCCCCTCATTTATATTTGGAAACAAACTGCTGGCCGTTGTTGTGAGAGAAATGTTCTAAATCAAGTTGCGATCTTTCTGGTCTGTTTTGCTTTAGAATTAATCGAGGCGGTTGTATGTGTGTGAGAGAGATAGAGAGAGAGAGAGAGAGAGATAGATGAGATAGAGAGAGAGAGAGGCCAGTTTTATTTCGTATTACGTTGTTTGTGTTCTATTATCTGGTCGTGTTAAACAACAGAAAAAAGTTTCCCTTTCAAACCTGACGGTCTATGAGGCAAGTGAAGTAGAGTTCACTTGTTTCTGTAACCTCGGCATATGAAGAGATAGTGTGGTCAGTTAGGTACCCATCTGAGTTGTGTGGACTCATGGACAGTAAATCCGGATTCGAACTCGAGACTAACGGGTTAGTAGTCCAGCTCTCTACCGCTAGACCACTCCTTCCTCGTGATACTAAAACAACACACGTTAAACAACAGAAGTGACTTTTAAATGTATTGTTTACCTGGCCATTCACATTTAACAAAAGTTAACTTTAGAAATAAATTAACAATTAACAAATATTTGTAACGAATTATTTTCGATTTTCCCCTTACTTTTTTCGCTAGCCAAAAAGTGTTAATTTTTTAAAAATGCAATTTAAAAAAAACTGGAATCACTTTTTCAACATGTCTGTCTGTATTTTGGTGACACCATTTAAGGTGACTCTACTTAGGGGGGTGGGACCTAATTTAAATAATTTTAAAATTTGGAAAAACTATTTTGTCCCGTTAAATTAATTTTAAAATGTAGGGATCAGGGATGACACAATATCGAGACAGCACATTTATTGGAGGGGTTGGGGTGACACCATTTGCTGCTGCACCGGGTGACAAAAACCTTCAGAGCCTAAATATGTAATGACCAAGGGACGTAATTTAGTCTGAAATTCTTATTAAATCTAAGAAATGTTGAAACAGCTTTGAACATTTACATTTATTTAGACCTATCACTACATTCTACACAACATAAAATATAACTTTGCGGCATATAAGTTTAATTGTAAAATAACAACTTTCTCATAAAACCAAAGTTGTATTTGAAACTATACAAACTATAAGAATTAATAGCGTATTACTGTTAGATTAGTTAGACTGTTTTAATTATGCAATGTTTCTTTAGAAGCAAATTATTGTATTTAAATTTAAACAAAGAAAATCATTTTTTTAGTTACTAATAGACGCAATTGTCTTTGAGTGGTGCAATGTTTGGTGATAGTCACTAGAATATTTAAATCTTACAATATTTAAACGTCTAATGATGGATGATCTGAGCAATTCGATTAATGATCCGGTGGATTCTTTTGACTTTAAATCAAGTATCTCTTCTGTTGATTCACTCAATCGAGATGAAGTTAGTAATTACTTTCAATCGATTGACACGAAATTCGATAAGGAAACAGAAACAATTAAAGTTGAAAGCTGGATAGAATGGGCAAAGCGACTCAAATATCTGAAACTGATAAACACTGATGTACTAGATTGGATACTACCGAAAAATTGCTCAGGGGAATTAATCGATGCTAAAGTATTTTGTGCAAGGGGACCTGATGATTCTATTTATGATACATACACATTGGTCAGGGACGGGTTTGCAAGAGGAAACTGTTTTTTAAGGATTACAAGAGGACCTAACAAAGGATCAAGATGTATTCTGTATGCTCTTAAAAAGTTTACTGGAGGCTTGGGGGATGATGATGACAGAGACAAGGGAGATAATGTCACTTGGAAAAAATATTTTATTAAACCTCTGGATGCAGCCAAAAGAGTAGTAGCTACAAGAAAAGCAAATGGAGAGGCTCAGTGGCGTAGCCAGGATCGTCTCAAGGGGGGGAGGGTCCAATTTTTACCCGGGGACAAACTTTCGCTTTGCACCCCCCCCCCCCCCCCTCAAACTTTCGATTTGCACCCCCCCTCAACCTTTCGATTTGCACCCCCCTCCCCTCAAACTTTCGATTTGCACCCCCCCTCAACCTTTCGATTTGCACCCCCCTCCCCTCAAACTTTCGACTTGCACCCCCCCCTCATACTTTTTATATCTATACCGAGGGGTCTATCGGGGGTAATGACCCCCACCTTAACCCACCCTGCCTACGCCACTGGAGAGGCTGCTCATATGAGCTGTATACAACTTGATGGCCAGTTTCTTATATGTGCTGGTTCTAAAAATGTTCACATACTTATTAGAAATAGAGTGGATATATCATTTTTTATAGGAGCCAGATATAGGATAGCTTCTGAGGTTTGTCACTCAATTATGGATTTTTTAGAAAATATGGAAGCATCACAAAAAGAAAGGCTTTTGAGATTTCTTGTTGTGACTAGGTTTACTGCTGTTTTTAAAATATTTTCACCAAAGCATCAATATGTTGAAGATCTTTCATACTTAGATAAACCTGTAGTTAAATTCATAACATGAAACTCTACAGAACTGGAGCCTATGCCAGACCAGAAGCTCTGCACTGTGCCATCACACATAGGAATAGAGGTTGCAAAAGCTTTAGGCTTGTCAATAATAAATTATGAAGTTATTGGAAGTGATAATGTACAAAAAGGATGAAACAGATTAGACAGGGCTACCAGTACGAGGGTGAAGTTCTTTACTTCTTAGATGAGAGCAACATTGTCATAGGTTTATATAAAAAGAAAACATTTCTACTTAACTGAGGCAGGGATTTTTAATCCATATCTTGGACCAAAATATTACATCGTTCCATCATCATCATTTCCCGTTCGTGCCCAAGACGCATGGGACTGATAAACTTTATTTCATGGGGCAGATGAAGTAGAGTCCATCTGTTTCAGAGATCTTGGCATTTGTAGGGATGGCGTGGTAAGCATTATGTTCAGCGCCGTTATTTCCCTAAGGTGATTTAGGTACCATCAGAGCTGGTTGGACTCAGGGACTGATTTGAACTCGGATTCGAACTCGAGACTCATGGTTTAACAATCTAGCTCTCTACCGCTACCACCGTCCCATAACAACGATCCATGCGATTAGTAATTATTTAAGAGTGTAGTAGAAACTCGCTTTACACACCAACCCCAGAGTATTTTAATAAGGTTCTAGACTTCAGTAAAGCTAACTCTGAGAAGATTTGTTTAAACGAACTAAACTCTCGGTATTTATGTAGGGTGGTTTGTGAGTGCTAATAATAAAAAAAAACATATCATTGTTTCTGTTGTTTCGCTGGTTCTTTAGTTCCATATTAGAAGTGGTTGTTTACAAGTAGTGTTTAATCAAATAAACGAAAAAAAAAAGACTATGACCAAAGGGATATCTACACATTTTAGAGATTTTTTATACTTTATATGAGTGTATGTTATATGTATAATTGAATAATTGTGTCTGAAAAAAACACGCAATTATTTGCATTTTGTCAATAAAAAAAACACACATAACTGAAAAACGTAAAAAAGAAAAATAAGTAAGGATATCGAATGTGTTTGCAAAATTTGTTTCAAGTAAAATCAAAATATTAATGTTTGCTCAAGCAGTTGTCTTTGTAGCATATTTAACACCGTCTATTTAGTCAATTTTTTACACGACACGTTATTTAGAGATTGGAAAGACCCTCCTCTCACGTCACATCTATTTAAATAACCTCGTCAGTATAATGAGCTCAAGTTTTGAAGATTGAAACTTAAATTATTCGCCGCACAAAATGAAAAATAAACGCTAGTAATTTTTAAGAAATCTGATAAACCATTTTTGTGGAATATGGTAACATGAAAACGACTTTGCTTCACGAGAGGTTTTTATCGAAAGTCCGACAACGAGATTGTTATGAATTCAATTGTTATTGAAATATCTACTTTAAAAAAAAAAACGAATGCCATTTATTTCACCGAAACATTATTCATTTGAGAACAGTGATAGACGTAATATTTAGTATTAAATATTTCATTTATCGAACGAGTAACAAATAATACAGTTATACATAATAATAAATAAATACTAGTTGCTTCTGAAATGTGACTAAGTATATTTTAGCGAGTTTAGATTAAGGGTATATTTATGTTATCCGTGTTTTCATTCAGATTTTCGCATAAGTTTTAATTACTTTTAGGGTATTTAGGGAGTCGGTTCAGTATCAGATTGATGCATTACTTTACTAATCGACGAAGCGAAAGATTTCACGATAGTAAGATGTCTGCGCGTGTTGAATAGAATGTGTGCGTGTGTGTGTGTTAATAAAATAATAAATTAAAAATTAATTAGCTACATCAAACTTTAAAGAACTTATGATTACATTACACTCAACTGATAAGTTGTTAGCCAAGTTTTGATCTCATGTTTGATATACCATCAACTATTGGAATGTTGTTGCACACTTAATAATGCCATTTTTAGGCTTGTTTTAATCAAACGTTCATATACCATCAACTATTAGATTCCTCTATTACACTGAAATTAACATGTTCCATATACCATTCATAAAACAGTATCACAATACGTGCTTGGCGTTAAGGAAAAAATAATTTGATTATTTCTTGTTCCAGGAAGTATAACATTTTAATAGTTATGTTGTTATAAGTGCATGTTAGTTTCAGTTTCAGTAATAGCAAAGATTTAAATAACGGGTCTCGTGTGGAATCGTGTGTTGTGTTATATTAAATAAAGATCTTTTTATTTGTGTAGAGAGTTATAGTTTAATAGATAATGTCCTATAAACAGATGGTATTTTTTTTTAAACTGCTTGTTTTTAAAGAAAAATACCTAAAAACTCATGGAATGTATTTGGAATATATTCGGATAATAACATATTTATAAATGATCTCAAGTGTGCTGCTATTGTGTTGAGTGTAAACGTGTCTGCTTAAAAGATAAAATCATTACACCTCTGATGTTGCTGTTTGAACACGATTCACTTATGTGTTTGAAACTGGTACTCATATGAAATTTAATAACAAACAAAAAAAAAAACTACCAACCATACTTATACCTTCCAATAGGTGAGTGTGTATTTTAAAAATGAATCTTCGATTTTCTCCAAGATTTACCAATCTTGACTTTATCGAAGTTTTTCTTGTATAATTGTAGAATGTACAATGTAATTAGATGTCTAATCAATTGCACTGTTTTAAATTAGTGATATGTATACAAAAGCTCCCCGCAAACAGTAAAAAGATAGTGAAATATTCAATCGAGTCAATGATATTATAGATTGCATTTAACTAAGTGAATGCTTTTATTATGTGTTCTACTTAAAAATTTTAAATATAAAATAAACTGTCATAGCCAGTGTTCTTATATTCGTTATTTTAATTTTTGCTTAAAAAATAAATAATAAAAACACGAATAGTCCGAAGAATATGCAAATGTGTTGTAATCATGTGATTGTTAAAGTTGTATTAAAATACCATTATTTAAATTAAAAATCAGTCAACTACATTTCTAAGTATTGACCTCAGTTAATGGCTAGATTTGAAATACGTATCACGTGGGGCAAGCCATTGCAAGAAAAATAGCATAAACGAATACGGACGTGGAAAATAATGTATTGTTTGTTTGATGTAAGGTGTTTTCATATAAAATGGTGCATGAGTTATGTGTATTATTTACATTGCCCACACCATAGTTTGAAATGGTGAAAATAAACACTAACCATGCATAGATAAAAAGTTATTTATGAATGTCTCGGTCGAACTGTATGCAAGAAGTAAATAAATCCCTAAAATAGTATATTAAATTAAAGAAATGAACTAAATAGAAAATAAAATCTTGCCTAATGTACCTGTCAAGGCGCTGAAAGATTGTTCTTGAATTAGGCTTCTGCTAAAAACAAAATATCTTGATTCTTCTGGTGCTGAAATAATGTTCCCTGGATTAGTTTAGAAATGACATAATGTTCCCTGAAAATCTGCAGAGATGCAATAATGTTCCTTGGATTAGTGTAGAACTGACAGAATGTTCTCTGGATCAATTTGGAGGTGACATAATGTTCCCTGGATTAGTTTGGAGCTGACATATTGTTCCCTGGATTAGTTTGGAGCTGACATAATGTTCCCTGGATTAGTTTAGAAACCACACAATGTTCCCTGAATTGTCATATGGATGACATAGTATTTCCTGGATAACTGTAGACTTGCAGTAATGTTCCCTGGATTATTGGAGAGCTGGCATAATGTTCCCTGTATTAGTGTATATCTCACATGTTCCCTGGATTAGTGTAGAGCTAACGTAACATTCCATGGATTAGTATAGCTCTGAAAGAGTTCCCTGTATTGGTGTAGAGCTGACATAATGTTCCATAAATTGGCGTAGTTCTCCAAAATGTTCCCAGCTGTAACGTGGCGATGACTGAATGTTCCCTTCATTATGCAACACTGGGTGAACGTTCCGAAGTTACCATGGTGCTGACTGTTCCTTAGGTCACCTTTTTGCTGACTGCCCCTTAATTGCTGTGCCAACAAATCAAAGTTCCACTGATGAGCCTCGGCTGTTATAATTGGTACATGGTGTGTAATGTTGAAGTGTTGAGGTATTTGTCGCTTGTCTGTGCCAATGATCATCATTTTGACATAATCCTGTGTGATGACACACGACATGGGTAGGGATCAGCTACTGCGTGAGTAAAGAAGTTGTATCTGTTGATCTAAGCTGTAAGATGAAAGGATGCATGCATATTTCAGTTTTTAGCTTTAGTGGATACATGACACCAATTTTATGTAACAATACATAGCGTAACTCTAAATCCCCCACAATATGTATATATATATATATATATATATATATATATATATATATATATATATATATATATATATATATATATATATATATATATATATATATATATA